AAATATTATATAATTATATAAGAAAAAAAAATCTTCATCTTGAACAGCGATATGTTTCTTTAGAATAACGAAAACTTTTTGCTGTTTTAGTGAAATATATCGCTGTTTCAGATGAAAATTATTTTTTTCGTGTATATTTCCTACCACAATAATATAATATCCAAGTAGACATATAATTACTGTTGAACCCAAAACTTCAATGAGACATACTTCACTAAGTAAATTTTCCACCTGAGCAATGAAACTAAAAAAAAAAAATTTTTAATTAAAAATTGAAAAAAAAGGAGAAATAACAAAAAAAAATAAATCTGAAAGATTTAAAGAAACTAAGAAAGAAGAAAAATTAAATTTCATTTTACCGCAATACTCGCAAATGACGTTCAACAATCTCAATCAAACGCTTATGATTTTTTTCTTCACTTTCATTCGCCTCTTTAATAAGATTATTCAAATGCATAATAATAACATCAAACTGACCACAAGAATGTAATATTAAAACTGCAGCCAAACTAAAAGTAATCACATTCAATGTATCATTAATAACACCTGAAAATGTTAATATCGCAAAGATAATTTCATAAATTGGTGAAAAGCCACTTGTAAAAAATTCTCCATAAGCTGGACTTGGAAATGGTTGAACAGTTATATTTTCAATTGTAACAATTGAATTTGCCGTCAATGGAATTAATAAATGATATAAAGAACCTCCAATATACATAAAACTGGCGCAAACATTTATCATAGTATTTCCAAATTTAGCACTCTTTAACATTACATTTCGATGTTCTGAATTTTCAATATTTTTCCAATCTTCTTCAATGATAAAAATACATTTTTCAATATTATCACATTGTTTCCAAAATAAAGTGTATTTCAATAATAACATTGTCCAAAATATAACAGGACCAATCACAATTAATTTAGAATGTACATCATGTAATACAAAAATAATATGTAAAATACTTGAAAAATATGTAAAAAATGTAAAACAATAATAAATAAAATGTTGAAATAATTTCAAAATTTTTTCAAATATTGAAGATGATTTTAATGGCCAAAGACCAAGTAATTGTGATAGAATACGACATATTTTTATTGTATTTTCCGTGTCCTCTTTGTAAAATAAATTAATATAATTTTTACTAAACATGATTTCAAGTCAATTTTCACTCGTATACTGAGAAAATTTTACACATCTTAAATAACCCAAATTCCTAATGACATAGTATTGTTAATTTACCTTTTTATTTACTCGCAATTTAATATCATTCACATAAATGACAGTTAGAACAAAGTTTTAATTTAAAACATAAAAAAGTTCAATAATTGAAAATTGTATTTGATCTTGGTGAAAAAAAAAAAAGTTTTATAAACTTTCAATATATACAGGGTGTCCCATTTTAATCTATCAGACGAAATAACTTTTAATCAGTTGATTTTACAAAAAAATGTTTTAGACAAAAATTGTTGTGCTCAGAGGGGGACATCCAGTGGTAAATTTGAATTTGACCTAAATGACCTAATTTAGGTCATTTCAAGGTCAACTCATTTTTTTTAAATGGAACCACCTACTTTTTATGCCGAAAATCGATAAAGCAGGAAATTCCACGTCGAAATCGTTGATGCACTTTTTTTCGATAGATCGACCTATTTAGGACCTATTTAGGACAAATAGGTAATTTAATTATTATTGTATTTGGGGAAATAACTTTAAACTAATTAATTTTACAAAGACATGTTTCAGTCAAAAGTTGTTGTGCTTAAAGGGGAATATTCAGTGATGACCCTAAATTTGTCCTAAATGACCTAAATTAGGTCATTTCAATTTTAACTCATTTTTTTTAATAGAACCATCTACTTTTCATGTTACAAATCGGAAGAGCAGGAAAATTCACGTTGAAATAGTCTAAGTACTTTTTTCGACAGGTCGACCTATTCAGGTCAAAAAGGTCATAATTAATTTCACCTACAAGGCCTTGGTTAGATCTAGTCTATGTCAAATAATTTTTCATGAAGAAAGATGAAGTTTTTATGCAAGGAATCGTCAGGGCAAGAATTTTTATGTAAAAAACACTAGACCCAACCAAGAGTGAAATTGATTATGACCTATTTGACCTGGATAGGTCGACCCGTCGAAAAAAATACTAAGACGATTTCAACGTGAAATTTCCTGCTCTTCCAATTTGTAACATGAAAAGTAGATGGTTCCATTATAACAAAATGAGTTGAAATTGAAATGACCTAATTAAGGTCATTTAGGACAAATTTAGGGTCGTCACTGAATATTCCCCTTTAAGCACAACAACTTTTGACTGAAACATGTTTTTGTAAAATTAATTAGTTTAAAGTTATTTCCCCAAATACAATACTAATTAAATGACCTATTTGTCCTAAATAGGTCGATCTATCGAAAAAAAGTGCAGCAACGATTTCGACGTGCAATTTCCTGCTTTATCGATTTCCGGCATAAAAAGTAGGTGGTTCCATTTAAAAAAAATGAGTTGACCTTGAAATGACCTAAATTAGGTCATTTAGGTCAAATTCAAGTTTACCACTGGATATCCCCCTCTGAGCACAATAATTTTTGTCTAAAACATTTTTTTTGTAAAATCAACTGATTAAAAGTTATTTCGCCTGATAGATTAAAATTGGACACCCTGTATATATATACGCAAATTGATATAGTAATCTAGGAAAAATAATAAAAATCTATAATTCAAAAAGTTAAATTTTCATATTATTTACTCTTTATAAGAAAGAATAAATAAAACGAGTATAAAAGGCATTTAAAGTTTGTAAGAAAGTTTTATCACTTTTTAGTATAAAATTTATCTAAACAACTTTGTTTCATTTAGTTTATATTCTTTTGCAAAAGTTAAGAAATGGCACATAATTAGAGAGAGAAAGAGAATGGTAACAAAGAATTGATGAAAAATCATATATGTTCATGACATGAAAGAATCAAATGCCCCACATTAAAACTTTTAACATTATTTTATATTTGCTTTTCTAATTATTATTATTATTATTATAACCCAATTATTTTCCACTTTAATTATTATTAATTATTTTTAAAGGCTTGCAAGTATTAAATGTATTAAAATTTTATCTAAATTTTAAGGTTATGTTCGTTTCTTCACACAAAAAACAAATACTGAAACCATTAACATCTTAAAATCAAAATGCCTTAAAACTAGTGTAATTTTAATCTTAAAATTAGATTAAGTCAATTTTAGGACTTAAAATCATACACTTAAGGCTGAAATTCAGTAAAAATGGTTCTAATGTTAACGGTTTTAGTCAAAAGTAAACTGAAAGTAAGTATTATTTTTTAGTGTGTTGATTAGGAGAATTTGAAGTTATGTTTGTCGGACATAGCCTCAAAATCCTGGAAACCTATGCGTTAGAATTTTGAGGTTATGTTTGATATCTGACCTTGAATTCTGAAACCCAATGCCATTGAATTTTGAGGTTATGTTCGTTTTAATCTTCCTATATTACAAAAAGATATCGCCGCCGCCTCCGCTGTTTCAAGAATTCTTGACCTAGGAGGGGGGAGTCCCCCCTCCTCAATTTTGAGGTTATGTTCGTTTCAAGGCTCTGAATTTAGCCGCAAGTCCCCCTCCCTCCTCTCATTTCCCCTTCTCCGACAAAATGGCCTAAATGTTGAGGTTATGTTCGTTTCAAGGCTCTGAATTTAGCCGCAAGTCCCCCTCCCTCCTCTCATTTCCCCTCCTCCGTAAAAAATGACCTAAATTTTGAGGTTATGTTCGTTTCAAGACTCTGAATATAACCGCAAGTTCCCTCCCCTCCCCCGACAGAAATGACCTAAATTTTGAGGTTATGTTCGTTTCAAGGCTCTGAATATAGCCGCAAGTCCCCCCTCCCTCCTCTCATTTCCCCTCCTCCGCCAAAAATTGACCTAAATTTTGAGGTTATGTTTGTTTTAAGACCCTAATAAAGCAGTAAGTCCTTCCCCCTTCCTTCATCTCTCTCTCTCTGTATTTCCCGCCAAAAATAGGGGGGTTGGCGCGCGCAGGGGGCGTAGCCCCTCCAGTACTAATATAGGTAGATATAAGGGTCGTTCCATATAAAGTTCAACCAACCCATGTTTTTGACATGATTAATACAATGGTTGGTTACACTTGATATGGAATTGACCCATTCTGGAGACAGCGGCAAAATCTTTTTATAATATACAGAGATTATTATTATTTTTATTACTATTATTATTATTATTATTATTATTATTATTATTATTATTATTGTTATTATTATTATTACCATTCCATGAAAATTTTCGTAATTTTCGAAATTGTAAAATTGAAATTCCATATATGTATCACACAAATTGATTTCTATTAATATATGGATATTATAATTATATTTGAATAATTTATGTACAGTGAACATCGGAAATAAATGTGAAAAAAGAAACTTTTATTAAAATTCATAATAAATTATATTAAGTGAACTGCATAAATGCACTCATTGCATTAATTAAATATTTCTACATAATATACATCAATTAATTATTAATATATATATATAAAGAATAATTAAACAAAGTATTATGCACTATTGATTAGTGACTTATAAAATTTATACATATATTATATATACATGTTGCATGCCCAAGTACATTTTGTGTTTAAATATTAATATAAAAATGAAATTCAAAATATTATTTATATAGAAATAATTTTAAATTTTAATATAAATATAAAACTTCAGTTCTCTTGTTGAAATTTATTTTCGCATTGAGAGTAGTACAGTGAAATAAGATAATGATGTTTTCATAGCCTTAAATTTAATATAACTTATTAATTTTTTTTTTCAATATATTTTTTAATATTAATATTTTATTCTATAAAGTAAAATTCTAATATTTGGTTATTTTTACTAATAACATATTTAATAAATAAGAAATAAATTGAGAAAATATTTTTCAAAAAAAAATATTTAACATTCCAAAACCGATTTTGATGTTTAAAGAGCAAAATTAATTTTGGAATTTTTATCTTACCATACTAAAATTAGCCATTGAAAGTATATAATATTTTCCTGCAGTGATTTTACAAGGTTTGGAACTTCGCATTATGATGAAGATTAATGATCTTTTTACAGATTGTGTTGCATCATACCAACAAGCATTATATCTATTAAAATTTTTATTTTAAAACTCTTAAAACAAAAATGAATTTTTAATCTATTATAATTTTTCCTTTTAATTTTTATAAAAATGTTTCTATAGTGGGCAAAAAAATTTTAGAATCTTTTAAAAAATTGAATTACTTTGGTTCAAAAATAAAAATAATTTTAAAATTACAAGATTCTAAAATTTTTAATTAAAAATTTAAAAAATAAAAAATAATATAAAAATTATTTTACGCTGCTTGCGATACTGTCACACTGTGATCGAGTAATTTCTGTCCTGGAATACTGTTAAACAATAGATGGCCAATTAAGAGTATTGCATAATTTCCAAATTTGAAAACATCATCAAAATCGCCAAATTTTATTACAATCTAAATATTTAAAATTGGGGGGGGGGTGAATAAAAATTAAAAATAATTATTCTCAAACATCTACATATACATATAATTTTCTACCTGAACTCCGTTGACGATTAAAATAATCATATTTATTAATATTAAAAAAAAGAAGTACACAGTGTATGTATCTTCCAAGTCCTCCGTATATCTTTAAATAAAATAAATTTAAATTAATTTCTAATTGTCTTAAAAAAAAAATTTTAAATTACTAACTTCAGAACGCTTTTGTGTTGTTGAACACAGAAGAAAATTTCTCGTGAAATATTGTCACGTGAATATTTTTTATCGTTAGCATTACAGTCAAATTTTATATTTTCCAATCGTTGCCTATAAAAGGGAAATTTTTCATATTAAAATTAAATACTAACAATAAAAAAAGGAAGTTTCTCTAAATCAAAAAAAAAAATTAAATTTTTTTTTTTTTTGAAACTATTATACTTTTATTCTCACCCAATGGCTGAAAAAATTCCACAAGCATGTTGAACATAAACTACATACATGGAATCTACGCTGGCTGTTATTGTAAAGTTTACAAAAATACTTATCATGTCAGCAAGAAAAATGAGGTAGAAATAGTTTTCCGAGTTAGTGCCAAAATCTTCGGGTAGTAGGTATTTTTTTTCCCTTGTTCCATTTGGCAATGGCATAAAAGTGTCGAGTAATTGTGGCGAAAGTGTGAATGAAGTATAGGATAATACTGAGCAATATAACGCAACTATATGGAAAATAAAATAACAAAAAAAAAAAAAAAAATTATTTTTATTTACAACTAGAATTTAAAATTTAATTTTTATCATTTCTAAAATAGCATTATAATCTGATAATATCATTCTGATAATATTTACTCGCATAAATTAAAGAAAATTTTCTCCCCTCTTCAGCAAATTTTTCCAAAATTTCAAATTCCGGTTCATTTGACCAAATATTCCAATCGGCATTGATTTTTTCTAAAAGTTGTTTCATCTATAAAATTATTTTAAATAAGCTATTAAATATCACAACAAAAAAAGAAAAAAAAATTTCATCTGGAACTTTGGGGTCGATGTCCATTTTACCCCATTGCGTCTTGATTTTGGACATAACCACAAAAAATAATCACAGCCATACAAAAAAAAATTGCCTGAAAGTCAGAACATGTTTATCGCATATTTTCAAGGTCTCTAAAATAACTTTGATGATTTTTTGAGGTTATGTCAAAAATATCCCATCCTGACGTGATGGGGTAAAATGGACAGCGGATTCGATTTCAGTGACTCTAAGGCTATTTTTTTTATGTTTTCTATGGTTGTGGTCATTTTTTAAGGTTATGTCAAAATCCTAACTTGATGGGGTAATCATTTTTTTTTTTATACTGTATTTTCTAATCTAATTATTTTTTGCCCTATATATAATTCTTTAAAATGCACCTTATTATTTTTATGTAGACTATTCCAAAGCTTGACCATTCCAAGTGTCGCGGTAAAGTAAATAACAAAAGACTCTATCATTTCATCTTCATTACCCCAAATAACAACAAAACGTCTTGCCTTTTATAAAAAATTCATTTAAACAGAATTTTATTTCAAATTTTTTAAAATTAAAAAAAAATATTAAAATCAAAAAGTTACATTAGTGTCGAACAAAATACCGTAGAAGGAATATGTCCAGCCCAAACAATGAGTACAAAAATTTGACCAATGATTTTTTCAGTTTTTGATTGATAAGGCCATAAACCAATGATTGAGAGTAAAAATTTATTGATGTAAAAATAAGAATGATGGAAGTTCATTTTTTTTATATATATAAATATGACTCTAGAAAAACAGTATTATCACGATAGAATTACAATAAGAAATAGTAGATTCTATAAGGATTTCTTAGTGTGAAATTTTTCACCCTTTTCTAACAAATATTGATTCTATTTATTGATAAGTACATAAAGTTACATGAATTTTTATTTAAAACTTTATGTTATAAGAGAAAATTTCTGAGAGATTGCAATTATTTTAATTTAATATTCCCTCATGTCGAGAATCGAATCTTTAAATAATAAAACGCGGAGACAATGACGAGAGGTGGCAAAGGACAGGCGCAGGAGAATTTTACTTCAAGTATTACAGTTTATAAACTCAGTATCACTATAGAACTTCTTCTGTTCGTTTCTAGTCAATATTATTCTTATATTATATTTCTAAAATGAAGAAAAAATTATTCCAATTTTTAATCTATAGATAATTTTAATGTACATATGAACAAATTAAAATTCAACTAAAGATATGAAACATGGCAATAAATTTACATCAATAGAATTAATTGTCAGTAAAATTTTATGGGTATGTGATTATTAAAAATTTGTCAAAAGGTGACAAATAATATATATATACGAGAGTTCACTCATTTCATATTGTGAAATATTTTGAATTTTTTCACAAGGTAATTATAAAATATTATTTCAAAGGAAATTAAATTTTTAATTTTTATGACTGGAAAAAAATATTCATTTTATGTTGTGACTTTTTTTTTTATTTAGTATTTGCACTCATAATTTTTTATTTTATCAAAATAATGTAAATACACTAACAGAGAAATATGTTATTTTATTTCATTGAAAAATTTTGCCATTTCCTTGAAACTACATCCCTTTGGCAAGAAATTGATTTTTTTTTTGTTATAAAAAATGTTATACCAAAATGTAATAAAATAAACCTTTTTTGTAGATCAAGATACGAAATTTGTACCAAATTTTGAGGAAAAAATATGAAATTACCAACAGAAAAGAAAAGAAAAAATGAAGAGGAAAATAAATTATCCAAGAAAATACAATAACACAGAAAATTATAAGGTATTAAAATAAGCTGCAACGCTTATCATTTTAATCCAATTTTGCTTATTTTAATACCTAAATGGATTAAAATAAGCAAAATTGGATTAAAATAATAAGCGTTGCAGCTTATTTTAATGCCTTTTAATTTTCTGTGAATTTGAATCTAACACATTTTTGGGAGATTTTCTAACAAAAATTTTGGTTACGTAAAATTGGATGAGGAATTGATAGAATTCTTTTTCCCACATATACATTTACGGTACATATATATATATATATATATATATATTGAAGTAGGAATGTTATTTTATGTGAAATTCAGAACATGTGTTTTGCAGGATGGAAATCTGCAGAGTGCAAATTAAAGCAGTCTGTCGCATTAAAGCGCCAACTGTAGGCAGAGCTATAAATCTTCATACGGGTACATTTCGTGGTTTGGATGTTACTTTTACGAGGTGCATCGAATCGCATTTCCGCGTGCTGATGTCACGTCGACACTCACTGAATACTAACGCTCTCTCCAGTAACCTTGGTGACCTACACGTTTTACATCAACCCCGCTAACTACTTTACATATTACATTGTTAACAAATCGACGAAAATTTAAAAATTATTATAACGCTAATCATCAAAAAAATCGATATAGCTAAAATTTGTTCCATTGAATGTTAGGAATATTTAAAAATTCAAAATGTCTATATAGTCCTCTCTCTCTAAATTTGAATTCAATTTTTTTAACTGCGTCGATTCGTACAATAAATTAGTAATTTTTAATCGAAAATAACTAATTTTTAGTAGAAAACTATCCCAGGTGAAAAAATTAACGTTTCTAACGTTACTAATGTTACTAACATTACTAATGTTACTAAAGTTAGTACCTATAAAAAAATTAAGAGTTTCTAAAATATATTTTCACAGAAACTTTGACACTACTTTCCCATTACCACTTTCACTTCCACATTTTATAATTTTCATTCCCATTTCCACTTATATTTTTTCTAATTCTCATTCACACTTCCATTCTCACTTCTACTCTTTCTAATTCTCATTCCCACTTCACTTTCACTTTTTCTAATTTTCATTCCCATTCCTATTTCCACTTCCAGTTTTTTATATTCATTGCCACTACCACTTTTTCTAATTCTCATTCCCACTTTTACTTCCACTTCTACTCTTTCTAATTCTCATTCCCACTTCACTTCCACTTTTTCTAATTTTCATTCCCATTCCTATTTCCACTTCCAGTATTTTTATAATCATTACCACTACCACTTTTTCTAATTCTCATTCCCACTTTCACATTTCACATTCACATTTCACTTTCACTTTCCCACAATGGAAGTGCGAATGAGAATTAGAAAATTAGAATTTTAATTCTCTTTCCCACTTTCCCATTTCACTTTCCCACAATGGAAGTGCGAATGAGAATTAGAACATTAGAATTCTAATTTTCATTCCCATTCCTATTTCCACTTCCACTTTTTTATATTCATTGCAACTTCCACTTTTTCTAATTTTCATTCCCATTCCTATTTCCACTTCCAGTTTTTTATATTCATTGCCACTACCACTTTTTCTAATTCTCATTCCCACTTTTACTTCCACTTCTACTCTTTCTAATTCTCATTCCCACTTCACTTCCACTTTTTCTAATTTTCATTCCCATTCCTATTTCCACTTCCAGTTTTTTTATATTCATTGCCACTACCACTTTTTCTAATTCTCATTCCCACTTTCACATTTCACATTCACATTTCACTTTCACTTTCCCACAATGGAAGTGCGAATGAGAATTAGAAAAAGTGGAAACGGTAATGAAAATAAAAAAGTGGAAGTGATAATAGAAATGAAAATTATAAAAAGTGCGGGTAAGAACATTAAATACTTCCTGGTGGTCGATTTTCGACAAGTTTCTGCAAAAATACAATTTAGAAACATTTTCTTAATTTTTTTTATAGGTACTAACGTTAGTAACATTAGTAACGTTAGTAATATTAATTTTTCTACCTGGGATATACCAATTCATTTAATAAAGCTACTGTTTAGATTAGTAAACTTTAATAAGTGAATTAGTATACACTGAGAGAAAAAATTGGTTTTTTAACATTTTTGAAGTGACCATTTTTAGTTAGCTGCTAATTTATTAGTTGTTACTATTTTTTTGGTTGGCATAACTATATTATTAGTTGGTTTAACTAATTGGAATAACTATTTAATTAGTTACCTTACTAACGAAATGTTTTGGCTGACTAACTAAATGGTAACAGTAATAGAAATTAGCAAAAATACTCGCAACCGGTTTCTCTGTTTTCTACTTTTAATTAGAAGTTTTTTTTACTATTAATTAAAAGTTTTCTACTATAACAATTAGTGGTCTTCTACTATCATTCATTATTGACAAATAATTAGTCAAAATGGTTACTAATTTAATGAACAAATCAACGCAGTTCAATTAGTCAAAAGTGGCTAATTCAGATTTAATACAAAGAATTGTGGAAATTAGACAAAAAAAAAATATTAAATCAGACATTTTTGAATTTTTGCCATTAGAATTGTACTATTTACGATACGATTACGATTCGATACTACTAACGATTCCATTATAAATTACTATCACATTTTTGAAAATCACTATCGATTTTAACTATAATCGAATCTAACCAAGGGTGTAAGAATAATGTTATTCCCTGCGTAGAGAAGTGAAAGGAAAGGGAGGATTGGAGAATTAGATCTTACCACCCTACTTTAAAGACAGGAGGTCAATTTTCTACGTCACTGCATATCTTACACTTCTGTGGTACATATCACAATTTCAAATAACCACCTTAATTATCTTTTAGCTGATAGTGAAACTATACAATAATTTGTAAAAAAAAGGGATTTTTTTTTACTTTACTTTTTTATTTTTAATGCAACTGGACCGATTCTTTTATTAAATGAATTAATAACTAATTCTTAAACAAAAGTGACTAATTATTTGTAAAAAACAAAAAATAACCAATTGGTAGTAGAAAACTACTAATTTACTTATTAAAGTTTACTAACTGAAATAGTAGCCTTAAAGGAATTAGTAGTTTTCTATTAACAATTAGTCACTACTAAGAATTAGTCATTTTCTGGCCGAATTTTTAGTCAAAAATTACTAATTATTAGTAGAAAACTACTAATTATTGGTCAAACAAAACTACTAATTGTTAGTGGAAAACTACTAATTTATTTAGTAAGCCTACTATTTTCAGTTAGTAAACTTTAATAAATGAATTAGTAGTTTTCTACTAATTAGTCATTTTTGACTAAAAATTAGTTATGACGGTTACTAAATCATTTATAAAAAGAAATCGACGCAGTTGAATTAGTCAAAAGTGACTAATTGAGATTTAAAGAATAAGAATTATTATAGTAAACTGCTCTCTAAATCTAAATTAGTAAAAATCTTTACTAATTTAAATTAGTGATTCACTTTTTGCTTTAGAATTAGTTAAATGTTACTAATTGTTAGTAAAAGTTACTAATAATTAGTAAAATTTTACTAATTCAAAAGCAAAAAGTGAGTCACTAATTCAAATTAGTGAACATTTTTACTAATTCAGATTTAGAGAGTGACTATGAAATTTTGTCAACTGGGGTGCAATTATGTAATTTTATTTTGACTTCCACAATGACTTTCACTTTCACTTTGACTTTTATTTTCATTTTTACTTTCACTTTTAGTGAAATTCAATTAAAAATTGTATTTCAGTAAAATGTGAAAATAAAAGTGAAAGTGAAAATGAAAATAAAAGTGAAAATCAAAATGAAAATCAAAGTGAAAATCAAAGTCAAAATAAAAGTGAATATGAAAGTTTATTATGAGAGTCAATGTCGATGTGGATGTCAAAATAAAATTACATAATTAAACTTCCGATCATTAAATTTAAAATCTCAATTATTAAGTTCTCTTTTTGCCTTATTAAGTTATGATCAACCAACTTTCACGTTTCGAAGATTCTTGTTTGCGTGACTTTCGGATCG